GCGCAAGAATTATTTGATCCAAACGCCACAAAAAGCGGATTTTATCTGAAGAGACCATTCAATGGAATGAAAAAATCACCGAATTCTTCCTCCACTAAACACAGCAAATCGAAAGACAATGAAAACAATACTAAACAGTCGACCGAATCGCTGGACACTATCGATAACGCGGACGCAAAAGACGGCGACAATGAGTGCGAAGACAAGTCAAACATAAGGACATTGTGTGACACAATGAAGAGACAGATCATTTCGCGTGCATTCTATGGTTGGTTAGCCTATTGTCGACACCTCCGCACAGTTCGCACACATTTGGCCGATTTGGTCAACTTGAAGATGATCGCAATGGATGAGCCGACTGATGCCACTCACGGTATTACCACAGAGTTGTGGCAATCGTTCAAATCTCCAGACGGACGGATCGCCGACTCCGATGAGATCTATAGACTTATATATTTCGGTGGTATTCAACACAGTCTCAGGAAAACCGTTTGGCCCTATCTTTTGGGTCACTATAGCTTCGAGATGTCTGACGACGAGAGGGCACAGCGAGACACAGAAACGCAACACATGTACGAAATGGTTATGTCCGAGTGGTTAGCTGTCGAGGCTATTGTCCGCCAACGAGACAAAGAGATAATGGCCGCCAATTTGGCCAAACTATCTTCGGAGAGCAATTCGGCTGAGATTCCCCTAACGGGTCCTAAAGACCACAATCTGAGTAACGATGTGTTTGAAGACATCTCGGAAGGCGATGAGTCCAATCCGTCGAGTCGTAAGTCATCGACACAAACGGATGTCACCAAAGATGGGGGGAAAGAGTCCGACCGACCGACGAGTGGCGCTGCGGCCAGACGTCAACTACAGCGACACCGACCGGTCGACAGTCAGAGCAGTTCACAGAATATAATTGTCACCAATTCATCGATTGATATCACAAACACATCCAAAGTTGAGCAACAAAACAGTCAACAAACCGGTGATGACAACCCGTCGGACGCCGACTGTACGGCACATCTTCCCATTGCCGGCAACGGAGAGTCTAACTCCCAGTGCGTGTCTCCCGTCTCATCCAATGGTGGCGTTTATACCGTAAGTATTATTCATTAACTTTTAATCTCTTTTAAACAAAAGTCTAACTTTTTTTGCTATACTTTTAACGACAGAACGAATTATTAGATTTATTTTCGCTAAACATTCACCGAATCGATAAAGACGTCCAGAGATGTGACCGAAACTTCTGGTACTTTACGAACGCCAATCTGGAGAAACTTCGTAACGTTATGTGCACTTATGTCTGGGAACACCTCGACATCGGTTACGTGCAGGGAATGTGCGATTTGGTCGCACCACTGCTCGTCATTTATAACGATGGTATTGATTGTATATTCTTTGCAACAAAAGCCCAGAATATTCTTAACCATAAACTTTGTGTTTGTGTGCAGAGGTGTTGACATACAGTTGCTTTTGTGAGCTAATGAAGCGAATGGTGGCCAACTTCCCACACGGCGGGGCAATGGACGCACACTTTGCAAACATGCGATCACTCATACAAATACTGGACGCAGAGATGTTTGAATTGATGCACCAAAACGGCGATTACACGCACTTCTACTTCTGTTACCGTTGGTTCCTCTTAGACTTCAAACGCGGTCAGTTAGCCATGGCTTTAACCATCAGTATTCAACACTAAACCATCACTTGTTTTAACAGAACTCGTTTACGACGACGTGTTCTCCGTATGGGAGACGATATGGTCGGCGAAGTATATCTCTTCGTCCAGTTTTGTACTCTTCATAGCATTAGCTTTAGTTGAATACTACAGGGATATCATTCTGGAGAACAATATGGACTTTACAGATATCATCAAATTTTTTAATGGTATTTATATTTTACTAAATTTAATTGATTTCTTAAATTAGTGTATATTTTGACAGAAATGGCCGAAAGACACGACGCAAAGGCAGTCCTTAAGATAGCCAGAGATCTTGTTCTTCAAATACAGACACTAATCGATAACAAATGAACGACAAAAACAAATTCAGTCATCTTTAAAGTGGTGTTTATTTAATCCATAAATGAATCTAAACTTAATTAATCGTCATTTATAACAAACTATTCAATTGATGTCTCATTATATGAACGTATTTTTGATGTCATGTTATATTTGAAGACAATTATTAACTCATAAATCAAATTAAATTGTTATTTCAGATGACATTACTTTTTAAATTAACAAATTGTTTGCATTTATGATATATTTATTTAAATAAAATTATATATTAAATGTTATGAAACAAATGCTAAAACTGTTTAATCCATTCCAAGTGTATTATAAAAGTTATTTCAATTTGTAAATCATTGAAAAAGTGCTAAAATATTGAATAAAATTTAAATTAAGTGCTAAAATTGTACCAATCATTAGGCCATCAAATAAAAACACAAATCAATTCAAAACTTAATTTTTTATTTCAATTAATAAAAAACAGTTATTTTAGTCAAAGAGACCGAAACCCATGTCTTCGTCCTCTTCCTCTTCGGACTCTTCTTTCTTCTCTTTCTTTGCGTCCTTTTTGGGTGAATCCGCGGCTCCGCCGGCAGCGGGCGCTGCGGCCGCCACCGCCGCTCCCCCTCCAGACGGCACAGACGCCAACTTCTCGGTACCTGAAGAACAAACACGTGTTAGACAACACATTACTGGATCTACTGATTGTTTGATACCTTTGGCAATGATCTCATCGATGGATTTGCCGCTCAACTCCTTCACCACTTTGGCGGACTTGTCGTCATCGACTTCGATGCCAACACTGCTGAGGATTCGCTTGATATCAGCAGCCGATGGACTCTTATTGCCACCGATTGTGGCCAACAGATAAGCCGACACATAACGCATGGTTTAAGTCTGAAGTGACGCGAAATGAATCAAAACTTATTAAACAATTGTTTGAAATGACGGCAAAGACGTGAATACGAGTCAACCGATCGCTCAAACACTACAACAGGAAAGGGATGTCAACGAAGACTATTCACATGTCTTCACATCAGTTGCTCTCTCTGTCCACAAATTACGACCACTTATAGAACTGATGTCACGTTCTTTATGAACGTCCCCTCCATTGAGTTACACTTGTTTGACAACAAAACGAGTGAAGAGTTGTTTGTGTCCATCACTTAAGACACTAACCATTATATCGTTTGATTATCACTCGAACAGATCCAGAAGAATGGCCGACAGACTCACACAACTTCAGGACGCCGTCAATCAGGTCTGATATCACTCTTTACTTGAATTTCATATTAATGTTTTGTTTGACTCACTCTTGTATTGATTGTCACCACCAACTGATCCACGCGTTGACGCGAACAGCAATCGGAAAATTTTTGTAATAGTATTGGAGTTCTTCAGCAGTTCTCAAAGCCGACGTTTTTCCCCGAATTCGACAAATCGTCGTCGAAATCACCGACAGCTCAGACACAGTCTTCCGAAGGTTTGGCCACCGATTGTGGAGATAATTGTTTGCCATTAGTTTTGTTACTAATAATTTGATACATCTATTTGTTACAGATTTTGCCCAATTATTCGCCACATTAATCGCTAGAACTGCTAAAGACATCGATGTCCTCATCGACTCACTTCCCAATGAAGAATCGACGCCTGAATTGCAGGTATTTTCCAATTGTTCTTCTATTTGATCCCAAATGGATGTCAGATTATATATACGATTAACAATGTATTGAATTGTTTGGTTTGTGGCCATAGAGTGCGGCTCTTCGACGTCTGGAACAGGAGAACAGCGATTCGGCTCAACGTCTGACAGAGACTGTGAAACGGGGCGAAGAGTTGTTGGAACAGATCCAGAATGCGCTCCAAGACATCGCTCAGTCGCAGCTGAAGATGCAGTGCTTGCACTCGTCCACCGATGACACCAACAGCGCATCCAATTCTCTCAATAATAATTCTAATAATTAATTTATTTCAATGTTTTATAACTTGTATTCATTTGTTTGGTTTTAATTTAATTGTGAATAAAGCTATCATTTGATTGATTTATACACTAATTGTAACACTAATTGAAATTCATATTAATTAATGTGAAATAATTAAC